TATCGTGGTGTGGGGACGAATTCCAAGACGATGCTGTGAACGCCGAAAACAACGAAAAATATTCTAGGATCTTTCAAATTGTCTACTTGAAATGTTGAATCTTCACATTTTCTCACCACGAAAGAAAAGTCGAGGAGGAAATGTTGCCACGTTTTGACTTCAAGAAATAGGATCTTATTCGGAAATTTATTGGAAATTGGATGTTATTCGGAAATTTATTGCAAAGTTTGTAGACCACTCTCAAATCAAGTGGTACAGTTTTTTTTTCGTTACAAAACAGATATAAGTAATTTAAAGGAAGATTTTTCCCCGATATAGCACCTGCTAAATTCTAGTCGAAACTGACTGTGTATATGGATAGGAGCAAACAAAATAATATATATGTGAACAGCGGGTTACCAAAGAAATATCAAAGCAATCTTCGCAGTAATGAACACTTCTCACGCATATGATTTTTTATATTTTCACAGTCATTTATTCATCACTTCACGGGTTTATTACGAAACATCATGATTACCAACTCCCAGTTTGCTTGTTAGCTCGTTCGGTAGAGCACTGCAACGGTATCGCAGAGATAGTGGGTTCAAAATCCCGTCTTGGCCTGATATTTTTGTGCCCTATTTTGACTACTCTTCAAGTATTGTTGATTGCTGCGAAGATGGCTTAGATATTCATTTCTAAACCTGCAGCTCACATATATGATTTTCATATATGATTTTCATATATTCCCAGGCAAAACAAACAATGCTGATAATGATAACAATTATGATAATGATAACAATGTTGATAATAAAAGGTATGGTAAGGGAATGCATATCTTTAAAGCAGTATGTCAGTATCTCATTTCACATCCTGTTGACAACACGACTAAAGAAGCAAGAATTAACTTCAAGTAAGGACTTAATCGGAGCTTAAAATTATGACAAATTTTGTGGTTTCTTTGTTCCCTCTGAGGAATCCACTGAGATACATCAGTTGTTAGTCTCCTTCGCAACTGATGTTTCGGCTCGTCACGCAACGCAGACTAATCAGTTGTCAGTATATACTAAAACTGCGGATAGCGTCGAAAGTGGGCTCTGATTGGCTACTCAAACTACTGATATCCTTTGTTAGTGTATACTAAAACAGTGGATAGCGTTGAAGGCACGCTCTGATTGGCTAGTGAAACTCCAAATATCCTTTGCTATTTACCTCCGAGCAACTCGGGAAAAATTGGGGTCCCGGTTCGCATCCGTGACAAGCGAAGAAATCACTCAAATTAATTTTTGGTGGTGTGTATATCTCACTGTTTTAGTATATACTGAAACAACTATTCACCACTGAACAAAGCACGCGGGACTTGCGCCCAAAATATTGGAACCGTTGTAGGATAAATGGGTAAAAATAATCGTTTTAAGCTATATTATCTCACTGTTTTGGTGTATTGAAACGACTATTCACCTCAGTGTCGGAGGTTAGCGGTTATTTACCTCACTCCTTCGTGGCTCAGCAAATATCCGCCATTAGCCACTTCGAATTCCACGTCGGCGGTTAGTTGTTAATCATCATCCTCAGGTTAGAGTTGGTTCAAATCCTTTTGAAACCTGAATTTTTTACTCTTTTCAAATGCATTTTTATCAGAGAGGATCATCTGTAACTTGAGGGTGACTATAACTTTTATAAGGCACTTGTAACTTACACGTGTGTCGAATGAAAGGTAATGCCGACAGCTAATCGATGTGTCACATAAAATAAGGAGGTATTGAAGGTCGCGCAATCACGACAATGAACGGTATTCGTTACAATAGTTGTTTTGGTATATACTAAAACAGTGAGATAATATACACCACCAAAAATTGATTTTAATTCATACGATTCCAACATTTCAACATTTTCCCGTGCGTAACGATCCAACGCGGCTTGGATCGCGGTAAGTGATTTTTTGTTGTAAAAACTGCCGTCTCGTATTTTCGCTGACAGATAACATTTCTGAAGACATTTTGTTTAGCTCTAGTGGCGACATTTCTTCAAATGGTGTTGCAAACTCTTTCTGTATTTGAAACCATTCTGTAAAAAATACCATTCAACTTTGATTTTCAAGTAAACAAGTGAGGTTACGCAAGATTAATTTGCGTTTGTAAACAAAATCTTTTCCATTGGCTTTTATTGATAAACTCCCGGTTACCATTACCTTTAAACAACTCCAAACCAAATTTAGTGGCTTTCTCTGTGTTTTCAGGGACTGCTTCGCTGTTATTTGAGTGATTTCTTCGCTTGTCATGGATGCAAACCGGCACGCCACTTTTTCTCGAGTTGCTCGGAGGTAAATAGCAAAGGATATTCAGAGTTTGACTAGGCAGTCAGAGCGCGCCTTCAACGCTATCCACTGTTTTAATATATATTAATACCTGCTATTCACCTCCATCGTTCCAATACCACTAGAAAAACCCCCCTTGGCTTCATACCTCCCTCCACATGATTAACGACGGGTCCTAAAATTCCCTTGAGTGAACTCTTCAACAACCCTTGAGGAGTTCTGATAAAGAGAAAGGGCTCGTAAATATACTAGCTGCTCTCCTTCCAGGCTTACTTTAGTTTAACCTATATATCAAATGTACCGAGAGATTCCATGTACACACTCAAATGGGTGGCAAAGGCTTTATAATTGACGCGTAATTAAGGCGGCATTTGATATGTGAATCATAAATTATGAAGAAAGGTGAGCGTGATTTAGGAATTTATGAACCAAAGCTAGATCACATCTGATATAAAAGAAGGTAAGTTGGAAAAATTCTTAGATAAGCTTTACAAATAGATACAAAAAATATTCAGGTTCTTGTAATCCACCTACATTAACATCAGGAATATTTTGTTAAGTTTGCCAGTAGGGTGTGCAAAAGACTTCGCAATTCGCATTATTGCAGTATAACGTGCCAAACTCGTGCAAAATCTCAGTAAAGAGTTAAAACTTTCTGGAAAAGATCACCACAACCCTACATTTTAGCATGCTAACTTAAAGAACCTTCGAAATGAAGGTGATTTTTTCTTTTAAGTTAGAAATTTGGAAGAAATTGTGAACATTCTGTCTTTATTGCCTTTTTCGTTTATCTTTCTTTCATAAAAGCTCCCCCATTCAGTTTGTCCATGGGTAATATTTCTAGCTTCGTGATATGGCGCCATATTTTCCCCTTTCACCGGGGGAAGCTGGATTCAGCGCCATATGTAGCCAAAATGTAAACAAAAATATTGGCTATGGGTCGTTAAGTTTGTGATACAACTACACTACTTCCATTTGAAGTCGAAGTAAAAGAGTAAGGGAAAAGCGCAAGACTGACTGGTATCAAGGGCAAAAGATACAATGATTTCAGGCGAACACAAGTGAGAACTAAAATGGCTCTATGCCCTGTTAAAAAAGCTGAGGGTCAAAATTAGAATGGATGCGAAAGTAAATGAAATCTCTATATGTAACGAGATTTGGAACGCCTTTAACGAATAATTTTTAACCATAGGGCATAGACTAGCCCGTGAAATACCATTAACTTCGGACGAAGAGTCTCTTAGTTTGCAAAATAATATTACTGAAAATTACAACAAATCTTGCTTTCGTCCAACAACTACCAGTGATGGCTTTTCCCATCTGAATAGATTGTCTAAGACTAAAGTTAGGTTGCTTCGTGAGTGTGCGGATATTATTTCAGGCCTGTTATGCGATCTGTTTAATAATTCTCTGGTGTCTGACATATTTCCTGACGACTGGAAGGGTGCCAGAGTGACTCCTTTGTTTAAACAGGGTT